ATACCAGACCCGCTGGCAATGATACCGCATTGTTTGATTTTATAACTAAGGTTTGCGTCTGTGTGGCACCTACTGATTGCGTTGCCGCATTGTGGTGTTGCTGTGACGGTTGTACCGTCACCCCTGGTTGCCCACCACTTTGTAGTACTTGATGATGCTGTACCTGTACTTGTTGCGGCAGTGTATGATGTTGTCCGCCAACTCCACTTGACGTTATTGTCTTTATAGTGGTGGTATTCGGTAGTTGGGAAGTGGATATGATTGTTGAGCCTGGCGGATGTCCCGCCGCTCCTCCTATATTTATTGTGCCGTTAGGAAGCGTTTGACTTGTAAATGTTATACGATTGCCCGGCGCTTGTGTAGATTGGCTGGAATTCATGGCGAAATTTGTATACGACGATGTCGCTGACGACAACGACGTTGACGCCAATGACGATGCTGGTGCGCGTATGTTGAGTATTTTTGTTGATACGTTCGTCGGTGGCTTATCGGCCCACTGATGATTATGCTGATTAAGCGGTTTTGCAACCGAATGCAGACTGGCCGCTTCTTTTTGTAAAGCCTGCGTATTGTTATGTTGATTATTTTGTGTTTGTAATTGATATGCAAATTTAGCATTTATCCCCGCATTGCCTTCACTTGAAAACGTCTTTGGTGTCTTATAGAGAGTGTGTGTGGGTGCGCTCCCTCTGAAATTATTGTTTATTTCTGCAACATAAACAAAATAATGCATTAATATTCAATATCTATCAAAGGAAGTTTAATTATGGCAAGAATTTTTCTATTTAGTTATATTTCTAGAAATTTTATCAACGGAACGAAGCATTGGCTCCCAACAATACATTAAAAAACCCCAATGTATTACCTCCAATTATACACACATTTAACAAACTCGCTATAGTCCTCCTTCAATAACCCTCCCAAATTGTCTAATTCTATCTCTTTATGAATTCGCGAGTGAACATTTTTGCGACCATAATTATAATATACAATTGGTACCTTCAGATAAAGTCGTAACATTATCACTTTCGAATTGTGAAAACCGATCAAAACTTTTGTTATGATTTAGGACTCCTGCGCTTCCACTACCAGATTTGCTGTTAACAATGACTGTTTTTGTGGAAATCACCTCCTCAATGTCAACAAAGGCTTCATTGCCTTCTCCGCCAAATGCTGACACTGTTGTTGCTGACCTTCTATCACAGCCGCTTTTATAATGAATTTTGTCACCATATTCATTCTCTTTTGTTGTATATTCGTTATTTGTTAAGGTAAAGTCATCTTTGGAATTTACATTCCCGATTCCTGGGGTTGGCAGAACTCCAGACACGGTATTTTTCTGATAATCTCCTGATATTACTGATTCTATTCTGGAAGAATTTGCTTTATTTTGATTTTGGTGTACAAAAAATTTGGCAGAAGACGCCGCCATTTTCTCGAAAAACGATTAAAAGGAAGGACGGCGAAATTTCATATCGTAATAGATTCTATTTTACAAGAGATAAGCGATGAAAAATGTCAATTGAGAAAAATGTTGCCAGCTTAATTCAGTCTCGAAGCACACAGTTTTAATTTGAAATAAAGTTGCACTATATTTATTAATGTGCAGTACTTATTTTACAGAAGTATTCAAATATTTATAATAAATAAAAAAGGCTCAAAATAAATTTGCGTATATACAGCATTAAATATTAACAATTTATTATCATAGGGAAATTGCGGCATCATATCATTCAGTGATACCACGCAACATAACGAAAAACAATTCAGGCCACGCAACAGCAGCGTCCAACATCAATTCACAATATCACAGAAAAACTTAATTTTTGTTTGAATTGAAAGCTATTTTTGCGCAATTATTAACAAATCACCCGATATTGTTAGTATACCATTTTGCTCTCATAACATAATGTCATTAATTTTTTTTATTTCTTACCCTTAGCAATTCACAAATTCTTGCTGTTGCATAAATGCTGATGGTACTTGAAATACTATGCACTGGCAGCTCTCATAAACTGTCACTAATATTAAACGAATAACCACTCATGGCATACATGTCAATAAAGATAAATCCATAGAATGGCAAGCGATAATAGCTACTGGCTGGCTGACTTTTGCTGAACGTAGTTGGAGTTTTCGTTTTCCTTAATGTGTTACATACATTCGCTCGTGAAACAGACGGAGCGCCACACAATTGATTTTGCGGATTGAGTACGGCTGAGAATTATGATAGCCGAAACCGTCGGCATTTATGAAGTCGCGTTCTATCAAATATATACTATGTTTTTTTTAGAATTTCATAAATACATATATTTTGTTAAAGAATGAATTGCACTATTTTATATTCAACTTTTTTTTTCAATGAAATCGATGTAGAAAACTCTTTTTCGTTACAACGCGACGACTGCACGACTAGGTGAAACGAAGACGGGTAAAGGGGGGGAAATTTCACTCTGTGACACTTCTTTTCTCGTATTTCATCAAAAAACACACCGTGTGGGACAGCAAAGATTTCAAATGATTATTTCAGCTTACCAATGGCCAGCAAACAATTGCATTCACTTTCTAATTAATATTTAAACACTCTGTAACACGTTTCGCGTAATTTTGTTAAAATTTGATCGAGATTTCCGCGAGAATTTCGATAAAATTTGTTTACGCTCGACTCCGTCGCAGCCCGCACTCACTTTGCAAACGGCGAAATTTTGTTTTGTAATAGATTACATGAGCGAAGTATTGGAAGCAAAATGTCAAAAGCGCGTTGCCACACCGTTGATGTTCTCCCATTTCTAATGCCTGCGTAATTCCTCCGAAGAACGATTTTGTGATGTCATGTGTTTTTGCATTTACTTACCTCGCATAGGAGAATTTGTTTTGCATCAATTACATTTTAATAATTGGTAGTAATTATATTAATTTTACAATTAATTATAATAATAATTATATTTACAATTAATATAATATAAATTCTCATTAAAGGAATGACTATCGGGTGATTCTTAGTTTTAACTGCAGGATCTCTTATTTTGCCAAGATAAAAATAAACTTAACATATTTCTATTCCACATTCTAGTTATAAATGAAAAATTATGATTTATAACAAATAAATTGAGATTAGAATAGAAAGATTAAGATTTAAAAATAGCATAATATTTATTCTTAAATTTTAATGCCTCGATATGGAAAATAATAATTACAAGTAAATATCTAAATATTAACATATGAGAAACTAATGAAAATGACAAGTATGTTGGCCATAGGTGTGAAATTCTCTACATTGCCGACGTAAGTTATCGATAATTTTTCCTCAAATCATCTCTGAATATATCGATATTGATATTTAGTTTTGTGCGTATACGACACATGCACGTGTACAGTTGTGCCTAAAATATTAGGAATTTCTTACTTTCATTAGTCTTTTCCTTTTTTAATTCGTAGTTGAGTAATTTTTTATTAATCATCAGTCTTACACATACATATGTAAATTAAATGCAACGCATGCAAATTGGCAAATAATGAGCATATCTTTAGAAGTATAAACATTAAAGACCATGTTCTAATATTCTCTTTGAACAGTGTTAAAAATTTATTTTTTTCACCTTTCGGGGAGGTTTTGTTTACAATTATTATGAAATTTTGATATTGCGTCGTGATATACATGCATACGCAGATATTACCGATTGTTTGTATGCATGCCAAACTCATAAACTCAGCTTTGTCGAGACGAGTCGAGTGAGAACGAGGTTGATACCCACAGTTTCCACCAAAATCATTCGAATGGACTGGCGATCTCTCTTAGCATCTCTCTAACATTTGCCTGACATTTTCAAGCCCCATATCCTTCACTTCTTTAATTTTTGCATCACTTAAAGAGGTCGAAGGAAGACCCAAATCAGTCTCTTACAAGTCATTCTCAAGAATTGGACATCTCTGTGACGTCGTTGTGCGAAATTTTGCGAAAAGATCTTGACCTAAATCTTTACAAGATCAAATTGACGCAAGAACTGAAGCTGCTTGACTACAATAATCGTCGTATGTTCGTGAATGTGTGTTTGAAAGTGTTCCAGATTTTCATCGAAAAATCGTCTTCAGCGAGGAAGCTCGTTTCTGGCTGAATGGCTCAGTTAATAAGCAAAATATGCGTTTTTGGTCAAGAAGCAATCCACAAGTACTCCATAAGTCACCTTTGCATCCCGAAAAAATGACGGTTTGATGGGGTTTATGGAGTTAAGATCAAGACCGGCACATTACTGTGATGGGAATCGCTACCGTTCAATGATAACCGAATATTTTTGGCCCGAATGGACTGGGAGAATATGTGGTTCCAACCATTTGGCCGTGTCGGTCATATGATTTGACGCTGTTAGACTATTTCCTGTGGAACCACGTCAAGTCTATGGTATTAGCCAGCAAACCAGCGATGATTGATGAACTTCGTACGTACTCGTTTATCGAAGGTGAAATTGCAGCAGTAGCTTGAAAACCATCGAAAATTGGGTTCAGCGTCTCAACGTCTGCAAGCGTGCCCGTGGTGGTCATGTAATAGAAATCGAGTTCCATACATAATGGCATCGATGGTACTTTCACAAGTATAAAGAATTTCATTGAGAGCCCTTTTGTAGCGCTCTTATAGGAAAACTCTCTACAACTGGCGTGACCTTGCAAAGGATGGCGGCAACTGGCGAAGTTTCGTGTTCTCGGCCCAGACCGACCCTCGATTGTAGTGCCAAAGTAGAAAAAAATATGTATGCCAATAAATCAAACTAAATTGTTGTACAATTATTTATTTAATTCATAACATACTAAATCACAATATGTTACAATCACATTTAGAATAATGTTGGAAATATTTACAAAAATATACAAATACATAATTACAATAAATTATGTACATATGTATGTATGTATAAAATATATCTTAACGAAGAAAAAACAATAAAATTATAATTTAAAAGTTATATAAAATTAAATTAAATATATAAGTATATAATTTTGTTAGTAAAATATCGCTTGTTTAATAAACCTCAACAGTTCTTCAGTAGAAATACTTATTTTAGCGGTGCCACTTCCGCTTCCGGCTTTCGACGTTGTATTACATAATATATCAGGCATATGGCGGCCACGCCAATGCCACCGCAAATCGACGCCCAATGAATGATATTGAGCGTTTTGAGCGAGTTTATAAGTTTCTTTTTGAAAAAGGCGACCATTTCGCTGTTGAGTTGAATACCCTTAAAGAGAGTGAGAGAGAGAGAGAGAATGTTGAAAGTACAGTTTAAGATACATACATATGTATATTGATACGACATACCTCCTCAACCCAAATGGCGGGCATAAGTACCGTTGTTAAATTTTCCGTTATTGAGATGCGGTTGATGCTCTTCAAGAACATGTTGAACTGCACGCGTTTGCCGCCTTGTAACGGGGTGCCGGTGAGCTAAAATTTTCAAATTTGGAAATTAAATGTAAATTAGTACGATCTTGTTTTGTTTTAAATTATTAAAAATTTTAATTAATTCTTTATATTTCTCTATTTATAATTTTTTTCGGTTCGCAGATGGCCGCAAACGAACAATTGCCTCGCCCACACAACGCCTTTAACAGTAAACCTATAATATAAAAGAATCTAATTTGGCATAGAGGATTAGTTTTGAAAAAGTGGGCATGGCGCCACGCTCTAATAGGTTTCCTGCTCTTATTTGATACACTGCTAAAGCTACACTAGCCAAATTAGTCTAAGATAATCCGATTGATGAAATCGGATGACAACCTCGCCCACTCACCGGCGCGGCATCACCTCTTTTAGGTAAAATCACATATCTCGAGGCCTGTTCGACCGAAACTCGGTTATCTCCTAAGCAGAGTTCACTTTAAATGCCGCTTGAATGTCGCTGAGTATGACTATATATCGACTTAAAGCAAAGACCTCGGTTTGAAATATGTTCGAAAAATTTTCCATAGGTATTGAAGTTTGCTGCAAGGGTTCCTGTGGTCGGGCCGTAACGGGACAGTGGTCGCCTTAGAGGGTTTGATGTTCAGTAAGGGCTCCACAACAGGAGGGATAGAACTCCACCCTGTGGTCAACCTCTTGTGGTGTCGAGACGAGTTCTTTATCCCCTACTGTGGTTTCAGCTATTCTGGTGTGCCGTTCGGCCTATATCTAAGCCCCTGTGGACCCCAGTACCTATAGTTGACTTTTGACAGAAAATAGCGGGCAACGTGTCAGATATACTATCTATTTGAATTTCAGAGAAAATTCTTTCCTAATAATAGTTGCTCTGTGTGTCAAAATTTAAGCCTCACATATCTAATATAAAGATTTTCAAACTTCCGGATAACTTTATACTGTAAATATCAGCGAATATTTCAGTTATCTCAACCAAAATTACAGAGCATGTTTTACTCTTATCAGTGTATCTTTGTAAATATATAAAATTGGGGGGGAAAAAATCGACCTAACATCCACATAACCTACTCCATACGATTGGTGATTGCATGTGCGGAACTTTGATGAAACCTTGGCCTCTTAATTGCATTTAGTATTGGCATAAAATCGGGTCAATACAATCTCCTATATACATACCATAAGATTTTCAAACTTTCGTCAAAATGTATATGTAAATGTATAATATTGGATCTACAATTCCAAAAATATGAGAAATTCTACGAATAACCCAAATTAATTATATAATATAATTATTTTCTTTACTCTAACAAACCATATGAAAAAATAAAGCGGTCTGTTATATAAACATATGTATATAAAACTGCTTGGATTCAGATCCTCTGATTGACATTTTGCACCTTATGGTATTTCCTTGGCTTGAATATAAAGTTTTACAGGCGCCTGAAGTAATTTCAGTGCTTTGATTCTTGTGAGTTGCAAAGAGTATAAATGTTCCTTACTTTATTATTATTATTTTTAATCACTCATTTTCCAAATATCTGTTGTTTCTTTCGCATCATTTTACTCACGTGCTGTACATCCACGAATGTTTGATGCTTCTTCGCGTCCGGCCGCAGTCCGCGTATCATTTTCGTGTACTCATTGGAGGCGCCCAACATATGCGGCAATGTTAATATAACCGGTGCATCTGTAAATATACCAGAAATATGAAATATATTAACGTTCAATATTTTAACTTTTTTAATGGCGTATTTACTGCATTTTCAATTATTAAATTACTTATGAGCACTTAAAGAGTCGGTAAAGCGACAACGACCTGGTCGAACCACATTTAATAAGTTTTTATATACAGCCAAGCATCCGTTTATATGTTTACATGTGTAAAGAGGCACAGAGGCACAGTTAAATAATTTTTACACACCTCATAAATTTCACTTTAATATCGACTTGGCGGAAAATGCCGTATAAATAAAAACAAAATCGAAAAAAATTAATAAAAATATATATAATTTCCGTTAATACCACATAAAAACGCCCTTTCGTCCAATAAAATGTATACTTATTATAGACACATATGTAGGTATGTAAATAGCTAAATCAACACGAATAAATACAATCTCTAAAATATGAATTTAGAAGAACAGTTGTCAAGGATATCAACCTTAGAAGTAGCCAAGTAAACAAGAAATCTTTGAATAAATGTGTGCTCGCTGGCCATGTAAGCTTGTAATGAAGCCTTCGTTGAGATAACGGCACACACGATAACCTGTTCGCTCACACTCTTTAAGATCTGTTTAGTGATTTATTACTTTTTTTTTTTACCAATGAACTACTAGTCATACAGGTATGTGTGATTTTTAGTGATACAGAATTTCCTAGTAGTGTAGCTACCAAACTAGCTGTCAAAGTAAACAAAATTTGTTTGACAATTATGTGCAGTATATTTTAGCGGATTACCATGAAAAGAATTAGACGAGAATCACGTTTGAAATTTGTGGAATTTTAATTCCAAGACTTGTATTAGTAAGTACTTTATTGTTGGAAAGGGTATGCAAATAAACAAAATTACTCTATGTAGAGCACGAAAAATGATGAAAAGTCTCCAGAGCCTCCCTCAGCCAGAGAAAATTATCATCTAGTGCGGACTCATATCTTGTTGAAAACTAAATTTTCTTATTTTTTTTCAGGGAAGAGCAGTATTGACAAATGATTCATGACATTTTGATTCCCTACGTTAGTACATATCAATCGGTATAAAAAATCGTTATTTAATTTTGATTTTCATGGAATGATTTTATTCAATCTGAAATCGGAATCGTAACTCTTATTTTCATATTGAGTAATGAATCTGAAGTTACTTATAGACCATTTCAACATATTTTCTGCAATAAACTATATTATACCCAATTATATATATTTGCCCAGGGCTGCCGAATACTAAACCTAGCCTTCAGATAACTAATATAAGAACTTCAATCTTCAGGTTGACTTTATATCATATATAACAGTCAATAATTTAGATATCTGATCGTAAAGGGTCTCCATTTCGAGAAACTTCAAATTTAATGGGGATTGTTTATTATCATTCGTTCTAGCATTTTGACTGTTAACTGGCGCGTAATATTCGCTCCAAAGCCTGAATCGAAGCGGAATTGTTCGCATAGACTTTAGATCTTACATATCCCCATAGGAACAACTCTAATGGTGTTAAATCACACGTTCTTAGTGGCAAATCGACCGCCCCAAAACGTGAAATCATCTGCCCGCCGAAGTGTTCTCTCAATGAATCCATTGATTGGTGCGATGAGTGAGAAGTGAAGCCGTCTTGTTGAAACCAAATGTCGCCGAGATCGTGAGCTTCCATTTAAGGCATTTAATAGTCAGTTATCATGCGATAATAAAGGTCGTCCAGAAAGAAATTCTGGATCCACTGCTGGTTTGCAAGGACGAACGGACGGCTGGATGAACAAACGTATTTCAACATGCTTAGACATTCGAATCATTTCTATATACAAAACCCTATAACTCTCAAAATTAGTTAACAACTGTTGGGTGAATAAAAAATCTGTAGCAACATGTTGCGAGAGTATACATTTATTTATGTAATACTGACTTAGTTACAACAAATGTAATTTCAAATATTTTGATTACACTTTGTGCTCACTCAGGACACAATAGACCACGAGTCGCCTTCATATGACTATCATTCTAATTTCAATCTCACTCCACTAGAATAGTTTTATAACTTTGTATTCTTTGCTAAGACAGATCAACTGTTAACTCAGATATTGACTACTTAACGGTATTAAGCGGGTTTATGAAGAGCTATGTAAGTAATTATTAAAAGAATGCCTAATACAATATTATGATCAAATTTGCAATTACTTCCTGGATTTCATACCGCTTTCAAAATATTCTTGACTTCAATATCAAACTATGTACTTATGTATGTATATAGTAAAATGTATGTATAAACAAACTAGAAAAGTAAATATATCTCAAATAACAAACAATATTTAAATACAGATAAATGTGAGTACATATGTATGCATATATAGTATGTACTTCAGCAAGATTTTGCGTACAATTTCAGCAATTAACTTGACATCAGGCACTGACTTCCAGCCTTTTGGTATACAGGGCGAAGTGTGAGTTGCACCATTTAATTTTTTCAAAGATATTGGATTCTTAAAGGAGGTCAGCACAGGTGCATTCTGTTACTACCATATCTGTTAAGAGTCCAAAGACGTGATTTTTCACACTTCCGTACGTAAAAATCTTTCTTCGCACATAGTTGAAATTTTTCTATAAATTGATTAAATGGGATGCAACTTAAATGAAGCTCATGTGTATAGTACTTATATAAACTTTACAATTTGTGGGTAAAAAATGGTGGGCGAATTCTTGTTTCTTTAGCTTAAATTTACTTACCATTTTAAAATATTAAAACAAAGAGTTTAAGTTGTTGGTTAAACACTCGATAAAGCTCGTTCTTAGTAGTTTGTTTACTTGGAAGCATAATCTGTTTTCGTATATGTGTCAATAGTAGCAGTAGTATGTGTTCTTCTGACAACGCACTTGAAACAAAAATTTGGAGATGCTTCATCTCATAAAAACTGTGCGTGCTGCTATGAATCAATGATCGAATCGTTTGAGTGCTTGTGTGAAAGCAAAAGGTTATCGTTTTGAATAAAAGTTCGTACATCGATCATTTAATATATGCATTAGACTAAGTTTCCTTTATTCAAAAATCTGTCTTAGTTTAATTTTTATATTGGCACTATCTTGTAACAGAACTTATGGCAGAAGTATACATATTCATATTAAAAGCAATAATTAATTTATATCTTAAGCAAAGGCCTATCTTAAGAGTATTGCTTATGCGATGATCATTTATAATGTCTTTGGAAGTGTAAGAATTAAACTAAGAGTTAAATTGACACGACCCTATTGTTAAGGATCATATACCTATATGGGCGAAGAACGAGTTCTTCAGCTAAGTAATGTCCAAACGATTTCCGCTTATCCTTCAAAGATTGTCATAGGAAGGTAACATCGTGCTAACTCAATAAAATCACCGCAATTGCAAACTCAGAAGAGAACCCGTTAACGGACCTGGTAGCTAATGGAATGGACATTATTTCTTCTTCATCTTCTTTAGAATTATTTTCTCCAGGAGTAGATTGAAGAAGTACCCTTGATAGGGAGTCGCCTTGTCTGAAACCTCGTTTGGTATCGAACGGCTCGGAGAGGTCCTTCACGATCTTGACAGAGTTTTTGATGTTGCTCAACGTCAGCTTATACAGTCCTATTAGTTTTGCGGGGATACCAAATTTAGACAAAGCAGCATAAAGGCAGCTTCTTTTAGTGCTGTCAAAATCAGCTTTGAATTCGGGGAAGAGGTGATGTGTGTTAAACCTCTATTCACTGGTCTCTTCCAATATTTGGTAGATGGTGAATATCTGCTCGGTTGTTGATTTGCTAGGTCTAAAGCCACACTGATAAGGTTCAATTAGTTTGTTGACAGTGGGGTTTAATCTTTCACACAATACGCTCGATAGAACCTTAGAAGCGATGATGAGGAGGTCTATCCCACGGTAGTTGGCGCAGATTGTGAAGTCCCCATTTTTGTGGATTGGGCAGAGCAAACTTAGTTTCCAATCGTCAGGCATGCTTTCTTCAGACTATATCGCCGCTGTATTATTCTTCAATGTAATTGCTATTTGAACCTCATCATAGTCGGACAATGGAACATCTATTTCATCGTCATCGATTTGGCAATTGGGTTCAACATCTCCTGGTGTTTTGCTTTCATTGCCATTCAGCAGGCTGGATAAGTTTTCCCTCCATAACTTCAATATGCTCTGAACTCCACCCACTAGATAACCACTTTGGGTCCTACAATAGTATACTCCGATCTTGAAACCTTCCGTTAGTCGCCAAATCTTTTCTTAGAATTTTGAGCATTGTTCATAATGGTACATAATGTACTCTGCTTGCATATATGTAATACATTTGTATGCCTAATGTATGTTTAATCTATCCTAATCAATTAACACTGTTGCGTTTTAGAATTCAAACATCAACAGAATACTTTCCATTTCTAACTAATTAACATTTTTGAAACTCTTTTTAATAGTTATAAGATTACATCAGTAATATGTTAATTAACGAGATAACAATAAAATTCTTCATAATTAGCATAATAACCATAAAGTTCTTAATGGCCGACCCGTCAATCATAATTGAGATAAGTCATTGTAATTTGTACAATTCGTTGATTTCTAAATGTGATATTGTAAAAATAAATATTTTTTCTTTATTTAAATTAGAAACATAAATAGCATCTAAAATAAATCTGGTAAAAGATAAACAAACAAGCATGCTCGAGCACAGCTTGAAACATACATACATATGTTTGCATGTATTCGTTTATGTGGTAGTTCATTATATAATAGCGACGAACTTCACGCTCTTAAAAGTTTAGTCGGCGGCGGTGAATCGGTGATTGATGGAATGATTAATATACCAGCATAATATATGTATGTATGTATATCATGTTTCTATTTGTACATTTATGCGAATAATTATAACTATTATCATGCTGATGATAATGACCAAGTTATAATTGCGGATTATTGTTTGTTGACACTCCATTTTTATTCTCTCGCAACAAACATAACGGGT